TACTCCTCTCGCGGAGCAGGAGTACTGGCGTCGACGGCGAGCACTTCCGGGATCGATTTTTCGAGTCTAAACAAGACACGATAAATCGATCCCAGAAGATTGATTGCTTACTGCCGAACCCGGAGGTAAGTATAGACATACCCTTAGAGACTAACAAATTTATTTGAGCATAAGCTTTCGTGGGCTACAGCCTACTTCATCGGATGCATGCAGTGGAAAATACAGTAGGAAGATATATACACACACAGAGAACATGAAACAATGGGTGTTACTCTACACACTATAAGGAGAGTGATCAGTTAAGGTGAACTTTTAGCAGCAGGGGAGGAAACAAAAAACCTGTTTGTAGTGGTAATGAAAATGGCCCATTTACAGCAATTGACAAGGAGATATGAGGAACTGTGGGGGGCGGGGGGAAATAGTTTTACTTTGTGTAATGGCCCATCCACTCCCAGTCTTTGTTCAAGACTAATTTAATGGTGTCCAATTTGCAAATTAATTCCAATTCAGCAGTCTCTCGTTGGAGTCTGTTTTTGAAGGTTTTTTTGTTGTAATATTGCAACTTTTAGGTCTGTAATCGAGTGGCCAGGGAGATTGAAGTGTTTTCCAACTGGTTTTTGAACGTTATAATTCTTGACGTCTGATTTGTGTCCATTTATTCTTTTATATAGAGACTGTCCGGTTTGGCCAATGTACATGGCAGAGGGGCATTGCTGGCACAAGATGGCATATATCACATTGGTAGATGTGCAGGTGAACGAGCCTCTGATAGTGTGGCTGATGTGATTAGGTCCTATGATGGTATCTCCTGAATAGATATGTGGACAGAGTTCAAATGTGAAATAGTGAGGACAAAGTTACAAAGTTCAGCCACCAGGTTTGCCGTGACATTATCGGGGATACTGTTCCTCATGGCTTGTAGTCCATCTTTGTGTGGAATGTTGGTGTAGAGGGCTTCTACATCCATAGTGGCTAGGGTGTTTTCAGGAAGATCACTAATGGATTGTAGTTTCCTCAGGAAGTCAGTGGTGTCTCGAAGATAGCTAGGAGTGCTGGTAGCGTAGGGCCTGAGGAGGGAGTCCACGTAGCCAGACAATCCTGCTGTCAGGGTGCCAATGCCTGAGATGATGGGGCGTCCAGGATTTCCAGGTTTATGGATCTTGGGTAGCAGATAGAATACCCCTGCTCGGGTATTCTATTTTTTTTTCTCCCCTGCTGATAAAAGCTCACCTTATCTGACCACTCTCCTTATAGTGTGTATAGTAACCCATTGTTTCATGATGTGTGTATGTGTGTGTGTGTGTTGTCTTCCTACTGTGTTTTCCACTACATGCAGCCGATGAAGTAGGCTGTAGCCCACGAAAGCTTATGCTCAAATAAATTTGTTAGTCTCTAAGGTGCCACAAGTACTCCTGTTCTTTTTGCGGATACAGATTAACACAGCTGCTACTCTGAAAAACTGAGTGGTGTGTGACGCAGTTTGTGTCAAGGAGTATTTTAAATGTGAAAAACCTGTAAAACAAAATAATTTTTAATTCTTCCCTCCCCTACTCAATTATATTTCAGCCTTTATTTTTATTCTCATCATCCCCTCTCTCTCTACTTAAGCTCCCTTGTGTTCCATTTCCACGAACCGAGTGTGACAAATTCATTTTTTTAAATTAGTTTTTAAAAATGTTTGCATCAAGCCCCAAATTTCACCACGGACCCACCATTAGACACTGCTAAGAAGACGGCACGTCAGCTGTTTCAGTGTTACATTGCTTTTTCCCATCTCAGGAGGAGGAGGACTGGGAGAAGGAGGAGAGAGAGCTTGTGCCCAGATATGCTGGAGCTTAGCCCCTCCTAGTGCCTTAAAGCCCACATGGGCGTGAGCCAAGTGGGGGATTGAGGAGCAAATTGGCACTAACAATCCCCCCCCCACACACACACACACACCATCCCTGCCCGTCCCATATATTTATCTAAACTAGGGTTACCATATTTCAACAAGCAAAAAGAG